ATTGTATACCTAATATAATATGATTACTTTGGTTTGAATGCCTTTACCTACTGTTGTTATTTTATTTTTGTCTAGATGAGGACAAATAAAAAATATATGATTATCATTTAAAAAGTAATAAAGAGGATTTCCCCTCAGTAGGTAAAATACCTAATTTTAAGTAGTCCGACCTACAATTATTTGCTTTGTTTGATAACAGATATCTGAAAAGCAGAGTTGCAATTATTGTTGTTTTGAAAACAAGTGTTGAATACCTAGTTGCTAAAAAAAAACAAAATTATTTGTTATATAGGTACCTGTATAATGATCGTAAACAAAATTCTGTTTTATAACTTTAAAAAGGAAAATGAAAGTGAAATTGAAGGAATTTTTATTTAAGGAAAGTCTTTCACGTAATCAAATGTATTTACTTATATGTATATATCTAAATTTATACATATGTATATAATATAAAAATTCTTAAGTTGAAAATCTGAATAGCAATACAATTTAGATAGTTATTTGTTTTTATTTTGGAAAACCGAGTAATGTATCTTCCTACAGGCTATTCGCTCTTTTAACGCGTAAATATTTCAAGGAACTGTTGTCCTCCTAAGCCTTGAAATTTTGTTCTTGTTAAAGTAAATTAAAATTGAGAGGCTAATAAGGAAAATAAACAGTATACGTGTGCTTTTTAATGAACGTTAGTTTTGCGACTGTAATAAAAAGATGGGTTGTTGACACCCCGTGTTCCCTCAATAATAAGCCTTTTAATAATAAATGTGGCGAGCATGACCGCAGATTATCTACTTGTTTGAATTATACGCACGTGGATGTACAGTATGAGTAAAAAAGTGTGGTAGCGTTTTTTAAAATTATTTAATCAGTTCTAGCTTTTAACTCTTTATAATTGAAATTCAGTGTTTTCTGTTTTGTTGTTACTATAAATATTTAAAACATTGCGTTAATCTTAGGGATCTCGATGAACCCATAGTGAAACGTGTTTTATTAATAATATAATTCAAATAGAGCCTTCTGTCAATGACACTTATGAGTGTTATCTGTTTTAATCGACGCGGAGTTCAATTAACTCCGTCGAAAATGTTTTACTTTACGAATTTTTCGAAATTGGTGCATCTAATACAAAACTATTACAATGTTAGCAAAAATGTATGATGCATTGGTTTAGTTTAATGTAACTTTGGGATAGGTTTCTGTGATTGGCATGTGCGAAGCGCTATGTACCGTGGATTAGTGCTATATACCAGAGCCGGGCAAACTCGGATCTTTTGCATCCCGAGTGATCCTCAAGGTTAACCAAGTAGCTCCTCATTGATCCTGCGAGTGAGATGACTAGTTTACAAAGTGTGACATCATTAGTACTGATAAGTTTATGCATTTTATCAAGAAGTATTTGGTTTCAACTGTATTATTTATACCTACATTATANCTTTCTCACCCGAACCACCACCCACCCATTCTCACGATTCCTGAAAGCAGGCTGAAGAGGGCCTTCCGCCCTACCTTTCGGCGTAGTCCGGAGGGACTGCCCGTCCACCAGCATTACTGGCTGGTGGGAATGAAACACCCAAATGTTTTAATCTACTGTATTCCCCAGATATGGTCCCCTGTGACTATTTATTGTTCCCGAAACTGAAGAGGCCCACGAAAGGATGACGCTACGCTATGATTGAGGAGATAAAAACGGCATCGAAGGTGGAACTGAACAAGATCATAAAAAAGAATTTTTGAAGTACTTCGGTAATTGGAAGAAACGTTGTCACTAATATATATATATCTGATGGTGATTACTTTGAAAGGGACAAAATAGATATTCAAGAAATCGATAAATAATTTTTGGAAAAACACAAAAATTCACGATACTTTTTAAGCACACCTCGTACTTCTACATCCAGCATGGGATATGGAGGGACCTCTTATTCTAGCGAAACGTTAGGAAGCAACTCCAACCGAACGACGACCTTTAGACCCGAATCAAGAAAGCATCAGTTCACCTTACTGGTCGCGAAAGTCCTTACCAATTTGTCAATTAAATTAAATGCTTACATAAATGATAAGCTTAAATTCAAGATTATTAACAATGGCCATATTTTTACGGTTCCCTAGGTCCGAATGAAAAACGGAACCTTTATAGGATCACTCGTGTGTCTGTCTGTGTGCCTGTCACAGTCAATTTACTCCGAATCTACTGAACCGATTAAGTTGAAATTTAAAATCATATCAAATGAAAAGGCTTGTTGTAAGGGTCTCAAAAATGTATTTTTATAATTTTAAAATGAATAGTTTTAAGATTATTTAAGGAAATAGATGATAATTGACCGTTCTCCCCCGCCCTTTATCTCCGAAACTACTGAACGTAAAATTTCGAAAAAAATACGTAAAATAATTCTTTACTTATAGATTACAGGAAAATTAATAAGAAGTCTATGGTTTGAACCAGGGATGTTACGAAGCTTCGACTCCGGTTCCGTTAAGTCGGAACTTCCGATTATTATTACACCTTCGGTTCCGACTTCGGCTCCGATACTTTTAAATCGAAGGTTTTAATCGGAGGTCGAAGCATAACATAGCGGCGGCGCGGCGACCTATGTCGCCTGTTATGAACAAGTTCATAATATGAACTTCATACATGTCGCGCGGGGAATCCGCCGACTTCCACTACATGCACTGAGCACTCTATCGTCAATTATTTTTTCATTGTTTGTGTTTTATTTTATAATTGAAAACTGAAATGAAAAAAATTTGACTAAATAATGTTTTATTTGTCCTTAAATAAAAATTCTCTCTCATGCCACCACTTCTGACCCTGCCTTCGACTCTGATTCCGACTCCGATAAAGCAAATTTAAAAACTCCGACTAAATAATGTTTTATTTGTCCTTAAATAAAAATTCTCTCTCATGCCACCACTTCTGACCTTGCCTTCGACTCTGATTCCGACTCCGATAAAGCAAATTTAAAACCTCCGACTCCGCCTTCGGTTCCGATAAAACTACCTCCGTTACATCCCTGGTTTTAACATAACGTGATAAATCTTTCAACAAAACAATATTGTGTGTACAAATTTACATTTTCAGTTTGAATGTATGGGAGAAAATGTTTTTTTTTAACTACAATATTACGTTGGTTCTTGGGTTAGGGTTCCGTACATCCGAATATAAAACGGAATCTAAAGATACTATAAGTAGTATCACTCGTATGTCTATCTATCTATTTTTTTCACAAAAACATTGCTCTTTACCGAAAACCGAGGTTAGATGTTACACATGATTGGCAACTACTAAAATTTCCCTGTAGATCAATTAATTGCATTATAAATTTTAAACTGCTGATAGGTAGTAAATATTAAAGTACTACTTCTCTTACTTTCTCCTACCATTACTGCTTGTGTATATCTAGCCGGTAGCATACTTGTGTAGCCATAGAAGCTGGATTGTTGAACTAATTAAGAAATATAAAAAATTAGAATTTTTAATTAGCCATCCAAAAGTTCATAAAGTTATTATCGGTATCTATGTAGGTATATATGCTTATGATTGACGTTTATTAAGGTATATTCCTTTAAGAACACTGTATTATTAGTTATAAGAAAAAGAATGGTAGGACATGAAGGACTGTTAGAGACATATGGAAATAGGAATAAAGAGAAGCAATTCTCCTAAATTAGATTACTGCAAATAGAGATGGGAGATGATTTCGGGAAATACGAATATTGGATTCAAAACATTTTATTAATTCTTTCATTCAAAATAAATTTTAGTTCATTGAATAAAGTTTTAAACAGTTATTATCTGTTTCCATATGGGTGGGTATACACAGAGTGTTTCTGAAATAAGTAGCAAGCTTTCAAGGGTGTCAAATACGGGCAACATAGAATCGCGTGGTGAGGTGAAGCAGGGTGGTTGAGTGATCAAAAAAAATTGAAAGAAAACCAGATTAGGTTTGAACTAGCAACGTATAAAGAAATTGCGATAAAAATTAAATTAAGCAACTACGTCGATGAAAAATGTAAACAGTGACGGTTGTGAAACGACTGATACTACGCTACTACACATAATAAGCTTTAGATTTCCATTGCGATAACAATTAATTTAAAATAATTTGTTCATCGCTTATAGTATGTAGTACTATTTAAAGTACACCTCGACATGGTATTGAGAACACAAAATACAAATGAAATACTGATACAACACGGATGCTGCAGCTGATGGAACGTGGCGTTGCAATGTCGTATTTCCGTACGTGACCCTGCCAGGGCCGGATTGCCTTTGATTGTACTTTTATGTACATTTTTCTCGAAAACGATAGACTTTTGTCTTTGAACTAATTAAGTTAATGTTTAATGGTTCCAAAGCCCACCGTTAAAACAAAAAACTTTCTTGTTTTATAATGTCCCATCACCTCCTGCAAGATTGCTACACATTTTAGAAACACCCTGTATAGTTATGATTGATGTTTATTAAGGTATATTCCTTTCAGAATTCTCAATTATTTTTTTTTTTAAGAAAAAGGAGAGATAACGGAAGGATTGTTAGAAACATATTAGAAGCAGAAACAGGAATAAATATTAGATTACTGCAAATAGTTAGAGATGTGGGACACTTTCGGGAAATGCGCGAAGATACAATTCAAAATATTTTATTAATTCTTCCATTTAAAATTTTATTTTTTTTTGACGCTAAAAGTTATTAACTTGTTCTTAAAAATTTAGAACAGCTTTTTAGTGGAATTAAGTTTTACAAAAAAAATCCTGTTTATCCCTCGACTTAATCCCCTGATTATTTATCAAACCGGTTATTGCAAAAGTTTTACAATGAAACTAGTTTAAAATTTTATAGCCATCCATATCTTCTTGGAAAATTTAATATCTTTTAATAAATGGATAAAATAGGAGCTGTTTTTTTTGTAATAATAGTTCCTTTACATCATCTGCGCACTTAATCACGTTGTTAACGTGTAGGTCATTCTTTTAATTGATTGACCCATTGCACTTTTGTGGTTATCCCTATTAGGCTTCTTCATTAATTTAATCTGACTACATTTACGTAAATGAACAATAAGTATTATGTTTGAATGAATGTCCTAGAATAACTTTAATACATTTTTACCTGTACATCCAACAGCTACGACAGCAACAGCCCCTAAATTAACTGTATAAGAAGTTGTTGTACCAAATGCCTCCCACCAAACTTCGCAAATTACAACAAATATTAAAGTGATGAAAGACATTATATATCCTGCAAAAATTAACAAACTGTTTTTGTATAGAAATGCGATGATAATGATAACGTATTACCAAAATTGATTCTTGCATTTAAAGTGAANAGAGTGGCTTCGCTCGTCTACGGGATGAAGGGGCTTGATATGGGAGTGGAAGGGAGAAGAAAAAGACAAAACAAAATTATTCATTACTGCTTACTCTCTCGTACTCATTGAAGGGTATGGAGTGACTCAAACTAACCTCATGTAACGGATCCTGCGAAGTTAAAGTTTGCCCGGCTCTGCTATATACCAAGCGCTACGGTTAGATTAATTTTGGGATAGGTTTCTCTGATTGACATGTGCGAAGCGGTATGTACCATGGATAAGTGCTATACGCCAAGCACCACGGTTACATTAACATTAGGATAGGTTTTCCTAATTGGCATGTGCAAAGCGCTATGTACCGTGGAGAACTGCTATACACCAAGCGCTACGGTTATTTTAACTTTGGGATAGGTTTTCCTAATTGGCATGTGCGAAGCGCTATGTACCGTGAATAAGTGCTATTCACCAAGCGCTACGGTTAGTTTAATTTTGGGATAGGTTTCTCTGATAGGCATGTGCGAAGCGCTACAAACAATGGATTAGTGCTATACACCAAGCACTACGGTTAGTGTAACTTTGAGATAGATTTCTCTGAATGGCATGATCGAAGCGCTATGTACCATGGACAAGTGCTATACACCAACCGCTACGATTAGTTTAACTTCGGCATAGGTTTCTCTAAATGGCATGTGGGAAGTGTTATGTACCATGGATAAGTGCTATATACCAAGCCCTACGGTTAGTTTAACTTTGAGATAGGTATTTGAATGACATGTGCAAAGTGCTATGTACCATGGATAAGCGTCATACACCAAGCGCTATGATTAGGTTAATGTTGGAATAAATTTCACTAATTGGTATATGTGAGGTACCAAAGATAAACGCTATACACCAAGCGCTATGGTTAGTTTAAGGTTACGATAAGCTTCTCTGATTGGCATGTATGAAGTGCTTTGTACTAAGGATAAGTGCTATATGTCGAGGGCTACGGTTAGTTTAACGTTGGGGTAGGTTCTTTTATTGGCATATGTGAAGTGCTATGTACAATTGATAAATACTGTATATCAAACGCGACGGATAGGTTAATATTTAACAATTATAGTTCCGGTAAATGTCTAGATGATGATCGAAAGAGGAGGTCTCCCCCACCACTGTACCATAAAAAGTTCGTGGCGGTCTCACCCCCATAAAAAGTTATGGGGTTAGATGGGGGTGGGCGTAGGGGGGATCGAAAGAGTAAAACCCCATAGAAAATTTGCGGCGGTCTCACCCCCATAAAAAGTTATGGGGGTTGAAAGTTAATTATTTTGACAATTTTCATACACTATAATTCAAATAAAATTCAATAAAAAAATTATTTTTAAGCGGGTGGAGGTGGGGTATCACTTGAACAAAACCCGATAACGTAACCTAACCTAACCTACCCTATTGATAAAGATATTTAACTAACGTTTTACCTTTGAATATTGTTTAAGAATGACTATATAAATATTTACATGCCTAGAAATGTATAATAATTGGCATATTTATTAACTTTGAACCCCTATAACTTTTTATGGGGGTGAGACCGCCACGAACTTTTTATGGTACAGTGCTGGGGGTGACCTCCTCTTTCGGGGGGGGGGGGCATCATCTAGATCTCTACCATAGTTCCTAATTAATGCCACAGGTTACTGAAACCATCCCACAAATATAGTCCAATTTTCTGATTTTTCGCATTTTTGTTACTCGACTGCCTCTCCCCTATGCAAATTTGTAAATATTGCGCGGGTAAAAGTGTTTTTTTCTGAACAGCACTGTAGAAATTTGCACATGTGTACACGATATTATTGTCTCCTGCTGCGCGATGCTATCTTTAGAGATAGCATTGGCTTACATACATCCCATCTGAACGAATGTTGTTCGGAACCTGCTGCACGTACATACGTATATATGTGTATAGAATAATATACAGAAATGTACACTTTATTATTATAAGCCCACCATCGCATCGCGACTGGTGCACGCGAATTGTCTCGTCACAAGTTTCGTCGGCCAAGGAAATCGCTTCGTAATTTTATTTGTTTCAACTTTCAGGGTACAAGTAATAAACGTGGAGACTATAGAGCGGCGCGGCGTTGTTGCACACGGTCTGTTCGATTCCTTTGTTTCCGTTAAATATTAAAACTCTCCGTTGTTGTTATTATTATTATTGTTGTTACTGCTGTCTCGCTGATCGTTCGTAAAAAAAAAAACGTAGTTGTATTGCATATATATATATGTAAGTACGTACGTGAATGTGAATTAACTTGCAAAGTGGCTAAGGATAAATTTATTCTCACAATCAAACGTGCAGTGAACTTTCGAAACTCTTTGTTACGATACGGTGCTAATAAATAAGATTAATAACTTTGTATCTATCGAATATTAAATGATAATTACCTGTTTTGATATTGATTCTTATGCATAAAAAAGCTTTGTGACGGTCTACATTTTTAATTGGCCTGAAAGACGAATTGCTGTGATTCATTTTTAACTTCTGCAGTAAGTGGTCGTAAACAAAAATTTTAAAAAAATGGGACAAATATCGTCATCTCAGCCCCACATCAGAAACTCTCGCAAAGACAGAGGTATTTTTTTTTTTGTTTTATACCTAATTTCCTTTATTTTTTTTTTGCCAATGTTTTTGACGATGTTTTTGTTCGGTGATGGTGTTTGTTGCTTTTTTCTTTTTTTTGCTGTAAAACAATTCATTTACTCGACCTTCAGTGTTTAAAAATAAGCGTTTCGTATAAAATAACAAAAGTTATCGCCTTTCGTAATTATGCTGAGTATTGTTGTTAGTTATCATAACAAACAAAAGCAAGTTTACGAAGTGGTTGCAGTTTAGTACATATATGGAGAATGCTTTTGATTGCTAAGGGATGACCATTGACCCCTAAGGTGTTAATTTTTTTGATAATGATTGAAATCATTTTCGATATACCTAAAATACCTAATTAATATTTTTACATTGTATTTATTTTATTTTTTATAAGTAATTTCTATTTTAACAAACATAAATTCATAATAAACCGAACATAGCGTATGTTCGGCTTTAGTTTACTTTGTCATTGTAGCGAAAAGACGAGTGATTCGGGGTGGGAAGGTGTAGAATACGCTTCGCGGTGATGGGAAGGTGCGAAAACAAAAACAAATTCCTATAAACAAAAGAAAAGGCACGATTACTACAACAGTTACTTCGTATGTGATGTCTTTTCTTCCTATCGTAACTTATTATGATCTTAACTGATGTTTTAAAATTTTCAAACTTACTTATGTGTACTTTAATTTTTTATTATATCTCTAGGGGTCAAGGGTCATCGCTACATATATGGCACTAATCAATACGGAAGTATCTCCTGTTTAATAGGTATTATAAATACAAATATGTGTTTGTTTGTTACGGTTTCACGCCTTAACTACTGAACCGATCATCATAAAAATTTATACACACATTGTCAGGAGTGCACAAAAGGACATAGGGTACCTTTCATATCCAGAAAAAATACTTTTTGCAAAGGATAGTAGAATTAATTTTAAGTGATCGTCCAGTATATCATCATACATAAATCGTTCGAAATTAAATTGAATTAAGTATACAATACTAATAACGTAAATATTATTTTCAATTTATATATTCTTGTACATGGAAATCGATAAAAAAGCCTTGTAGGTATACTATAAAGTTGTGGCTGTGAAGTTGCTACATATTTACCTGACTGGATTTATAAAATATATGCACCTAAATCCAATAAAAAAAACTAGTACAATCAGTTAATTCTTATTATAATTACACCTGATTACATGCACTAACAGGTGCACCTATATTGCTTTAAGTAGGTAGGTATAATTAAATAGAAATCGATTTATGTTTTGCTGTTTTTTTTTTTTAGTTTGTTACTCAATTTTTCATATGAAGGTGTTTAAAAGGTAGTAAGGGGTAAAATACAATAAAAAACAGTGAAAAATATGTAAAGTATTTTGTGAGAATTTAGTTGAAACTTTTTAAATCTTGTATATGACAGACAGCAACAAAATGTAAAAGTACTTAAGTGTTTTATCGTAAATTCAAAAAAAATATTTTTCACACTGTGCTTATTGTGAGAAGTAGCAGACAATGTTTATTTATTAATGATCAAGATCGTCCAATTAATTTTATCATTATTGTAAGTAATTATGTATGTTGTAATGTTGCACAACTAATAATATTAATTTAATAACAATTAATAGTAGATCTTAAATTGTAATTATCATAATCACGTACTGATAATTCTATTTTTCTTTTATGATCGCTGTTCTATCTATAAAAGTAATAAAGATGTTTTAGTCGCTTTGTTAGTTTTGATGTCTAATCTAAAAGTTTCAAAATTAAATTGATGAAAATTATCATTCATTAATCACCAAAATACATTATATTACGAACTGACCTAATATTATATTTTTTAAATCTATTTAAACAAATAGTGCAAGTGACATTATTAGTAAATGCGTATATTTTTTACAGCGTCTTACAATTTTATTGTAAATATGTACATACAAAGTTGGCGTAATTTTGCTTTATAATTTATTTAAAGTTATTGTAATTTCCTTTACTGCTTATAGAAAATGCTAATTTCGACTTACGGTATAATTCAAATGAATTCCTTTGATTCATTGCCTCTTCGATTCGATTAATTTCTTTTTGAATTGTTTTGAATTACGTACCTGTTCTCAAAATGCTGTAGGATTTCCACGTGAATATGAAACGATTGTGATGATACACGTGCACAAAACATTTGTTGATTACTCGGAAAATGGTTTTTAATTAATTTTATTCAGTGTACAAGTACTAAACAAGTGTTGACGGGATTTTTTGTGTTGGCTTGTCACATATGTAAAAACGTTTGATTACACATTTCAGTTATCTGAAAGCAGTAAAACACTTTTTTCTCTTTTTTGACGTAGCTAATTGTTTTATAGCATAAAATTATACGTAGTTGTAAAAGTTTGCAGTTGTTATTTTAACAATCACATCGAGATATTGTATTATTAAAAGTTAAGAAAACTCTTTTATTAGTGATTAAGGTAGATATAGATACGTTGAATACGTATAACACTAGGTCTGTTCAAAAAGTGTCGTGAATTTTGTGTTTTTTCAAAAATTATTTATTTTTGAATATCTATTTTGTCCCCTTGAAAGTATTTTCCACTAGATATTATACACTTGTGCCAACGTTTTTTCCAATCCTCAAAGCACTTCAAAAAATCGGTTTTTGTGATCTTGTTTTTTCATAGGCCTCTTCAGTTTTGAGAATAAGAAAGTCACAGGAGGCCAGATCTGGGGAATACGGTGGCTGNAATAAATGGATAAAATAGGAGCTGTTTTTTTTGTAATAATAGTTCCTTTACATCATCTGCGCACTTAATCACGTTGTTAACGTGTAGGTCATTCTTTTAATTGATTGACCCATTGCACTTTTGTGGTTATCCCTATTAGGCTTCTTCATTAATTTAATCTGACTACATTTACGTAAATGAACAATAAGTATTATGTTTGAATGAATGTCCTAGAATAACTTTAATACATTTTTACCTGTACATCCAACAGCTACGACAGCAACAGCCCCTAAATTAACTGTATAAGAAGTTGTTGTACCAAATGCCTCCCACCAAACTTCGCAAATTACAACAAATATTAAAGTGATGAAAGACATTATATATCCTGCAAAAATTAACAAACTGTTTTTGTATAGAAATGCGATGATAATGATAACGTATTACCAAAATTGATTCTTGCATTTAAAGTGAATGTTTCTACCAAAAGATTGTTTCCTAAAACTGTAAGAAAAGCAACAACAATATATACGAGGGACATGTCGAAGACAACTGGTGTGTCCGGATATCGTATTTTGAAGTAATCCATTGCCATTATGAAGCTTAAAACAATTGTAAAAGTTAAATCGTTAAATTTTATCGAATTGTCCTAGATTACCTGTTATAAGGGAATAAAAATCCAGCTCCTCCTAATACAAATGACAAATAAATAGCATTGTATGAATCCTTCGGAGGAGATATGTTTGTAAGACCATTGCTGATATGAAAATCGCTTTTTCTTCTTTTATTTTTTCCTAATTTCGAGTATCTCTCCGGAGTTGACATTATTTTTATAGTTAACTTCCAATTGAATTTTTAAAACCTACACTATTTAGCACCCATCGTTCACTATTAACGTAAAAATTGCGTGATTTATTTTATTTACATCAGGTTTTTATTTTTAGAGAGTAAAGGTTGGAATACTTTAACAGGTTTTATTATTTTGCGCATGGTATTATTTATATCGATTTTGAATTTCGAGCCTGCGGTAATATTTCGAAGAGTAATTTGTGTCTGGGCGCTTGAGGGCAGCACAGTGTTAGTTTAGTAAAGCGTGTGTGAATATACAATCATCTGACATCTGTTGAAGCAGCTGTCAATTTTAATGAAATACGATGAATTTTCGTTCGAGAAGTTTGCATTGGCGTTTGCCAATGTTTATGTTCTTTTACGGGAAATAAAACATGCGATCATATAATTTTCGGTCCGAGACGGTGTGTTAGTGTATGAGAAATTTGGAACGAATTGTGATATACCTGTGATTTATTCGGTTGAAGTGTTAAATTACAATTGTTTTACATTTAATTATCATTTTCAAATGGGTGCTAAGCCAAGTACTGCTAATGGGACTCAGAGTCCCCGAAGTAGAACATTTTCGACTAGCAGTAGTTCTGATGTTGTTGGAGCCCCTGTCGGCTATCGTCTTCTCAGATCATTGCCGGGACTGGATCTTTCGAGTGATCGTCAAAGGGCTCGATCCCTGTCAAGTGTTCCAGACTTGCATTCCAGTCACGAAACATTGGCAATACCTGCAACAGGGTCCAGCTTTGACACATCTGCAGGTGCCAGTCCAGAAACTGACAGCAGCTCTGCGGAAGAGGCTGCCATTGGTCTAGGTCCTACGAGCATTGCATTAGGTAGAGTGTATGCTGCACAGTCCCTACCATCTCATATATGGTCCCTAAATGGTAAGTTTTTGTAAATACTATTTTTTTATACTTGAATCTGTGCCTCTTATATTTATTGATGTTAGTGAAGCAAAGTAATAATCAGAAATATAATAACTATTTTGAATTTTCATTTGTTAAATAGTATCTTGAAACTAATTCTAAAAATCTTGGACTATGTATATCATACATGGTGAAATTTGATAAAGATATATTTATAATTTTCAAGAAATCAATTCCTGGGTTTTTTATTTTTACTATTCATTTAATATCCTAGAAAGGTTACAATATTTATCATTGATATCAGAACTGTCAGGAGTTTACCCCAAATTAGGCCTGAATGCTTTGTTTCAATATTTATAGGCGGTATTTAATAATAAGAATGGACTAGTTTACAAAGTGTGACATCATTAGTACTGATAAGTTTATGCATTTTATCAAGAAGTATTTGGTTTCAACTGTATTATTTATACCTACATTATATGGAATATACACAACTTTTGACTTCTATTGCATTTACACGGTATTAATGTTTTTGTGTTATGTTTTAATAGTCCTTTTGGCAATGTGTCTACACATTTTTCCAAAAAAAAAGTAGATGTCATGTTTGGTAGCATAACAGAACGTTTCTTTGCTTTTAACTGAAGTTGGGGAAGTGTAGTTCTATTTTTGAGAACAGTAATTTAAAAAATGTTATTGCATCAATAAAAACTGGCCACCAAAATTACAGTAGAGTACTTTGGGTTGCATAGAATTCTTGTTCAGTTACTGATAATAAAATAAATAAAACGAAATGTGTTTGATAACGTGACACCTATATTTAGTACTTTGGTTATTTTTCTGCTGAAGGCTTGGTACATTTCTGCGTGTTTTCTATACAAATTTATTAGCCTCTCATGTTATCTCAGAAACCATGAAATAAAAAATGGATAAAACTTTAATGATGACCATATCTTAACATTTTTTTATGAAGTGAGCAAAAGTGTCTACAAAAATTTGATATCTCTTTTCTGAAATTATGGGTCACTCAAACACTGCTATAAATTTTTATTATTGTACGCAAATAAAACAATTTTGTGGGTGTTTCTTCTTCAAGTATACATAAAATACCAAATCGGGTAGTTTATTGTTAACATTTAAAACACTTTTATTAAGTGTATCGAATGCCTTTTTTTCGTCACAAAAATGTAGAAATTAAATGCAATATGCAATTTACTTAACTATACTTACAATGGCGTAACAATAGGGTGACAAAATGGGCAAAATGCCATGGGACCCCGGCCTGAGAGGCCATGACGACATGGGGAACCTAACATTCATTACAAAATTTGTTAAAAACTATTAATTTTGTATGGGACATGTATTAAAGACACACGAATTATACAAATAAATTATCAAGATTTGAACACATTTATAAGAAAAATATATCGCAGCACTTTTCGGGGAATTCCCATTTTCTATTTTTCTGCAGTCAAATGTGTACTAACTTTTTACGAAATTTATTTGGGTCTCCAGAATACTTAGTATAAATATATANTTATTTCTATAATATAGTTAATTTATAGATTTTGTTCATTTGTCCAAAATATTTTTTAGGCGTTTATTGTAAAATAGAAACAAAAAATGCACACAATAATTATAGTTGTGTTGGCAAGTATATATATTTACTTCGTGATTTATAAAATAAAAATGCAACGTGAAACTTGTATAGTAAAGGAAGGGTCCCATGGAAGGGTCCCATCCAATTCATTTTCCAAAGAGCCTCAGATGGTATAATTACGCCATTGTATACCTAATATAATATGATTACTTTGGTTTGAATGCCTTTACCTACTGTTGTTATTTTATTTTTGTCTAGATGAGGACAAATAAAAAATATATGATTATCATTTAAAAAGTAATAAAGAGGATTTCCCCTCAGTAGGTAAAATACCTAATTTTAAGTAGTCCGACCTACAATTATTTGCTTTGTTTGATAACAGATATCTGAAAAGCAGAGTTGCAATTATTGTTGTTTTGAAAACAAGTGTTGAATACCTAGTTGCTAAAAAAAAACAAAATTATTTGTTATATAGGTTCCTGTATAATGATATTCATTTAATATCCTAGAAAGGTTACAATATTTATCATTGATATNACGTCATAGCCATAAACCTATGTTCCTTCACTAGTTATGACCCTTTGGAGCAAATTTTGGTCGTCGCCGACAGAGTCCAACAGCTCCTTAACAATGTTAATGCGAACGTGTTTTTGGTCGAATTTGAGTAATTTTAGTACGAATTTCGCGGCGACCCCGTCTCATGCCCAAATCATTGGTAAAAATCGAATGGCAGAAGCCAATCGATATGTTTAGGTCCTCAGGAACTCCTCTAACTGTGATTCGACGATTAGCCAGTACTATTTTCTTCACTTCATCAATGTTTTCGTCTGTTGTTGACGTGCTCGGGCGTCCGGCACGCTCTTCGTCGTTGACATCTTCTCGGCCCTCTGAGAACATTATGTACCACCAACGAACGTTGCTTTCGCGATAATTTTTGAACAGACCGCGTATATGTCGCCTGTTGCAAATATTCGCAAATAACACGATTTTCCCTGGCAAATCAAATAAAAGTCCTTTGCTTGTTTCATGAATTAGTCAAAATTTTGCCTGCTGCACGTAGAAGGCAATCAAAAGTACTTGGCGTAACAATTATACAATGTATTCTGATTGCACCTGTATCACGTTAGAAGATCTCATCTTCAACCCCCCGTATCTAAACGTGTGAGTATAATTTGTTGTGAAAAAATTAATTCTGCATTCGTTACTAATTTATTTTCTACACATTAGCTACAAATTACTCGTATGTTTAGTACATGGATTAAACTACACATGATTGAATTAATCGTAAGGGTCGCAATTTATTACTAATTACTTTAGAAAAGGTAGATCTAGAGAAGGTTTCCTGTTCAGTTTTTCTTCTTATTTTTAAGCTTGATAATTCAAAACCAATTTTTTCTTTTACATTTTTGTACAATATGATATATAATATCGTATATCTGTAATACTTGTGATTAGTAGCAATTCAGAATGTCGTGCTTGCTTAGGTTGCACGTGGATGTATCATATATCAAATTGAAGGTCTCGTCATTCAACGATTGCGTTTATTTAAAAAGAGTGCGGAACGGTTGGTCACACAGCTCCCGCTTGCCTGAGTAAAAATACGTGCCATAATAATGCATCAAATGTTACTGACAGTGAGATTTGAATCTTGATAGGATCCGCATTTCCCCTGTTCCCATGTATGACCATGTCTGGGCGTACACGGAGAAATAAAAAAGGAAAATTTACGTAAATATTAAAGCGATATTTACAATTTATCACACTAGCCCGTTGCTTCGTAAGCAAAAATTAATAAAAACTACAATTTGGACCCGAATTTATAAAAACAAAATCCAAGCAGAAACAAATTTACTAGGTATTTTAGTTGATATTACAAATTTAATTGTAATAGTTAAGAAACTAAGAAATAACGTGTCAAAAATGAAGTTAATACAAGTTTCCTAATAAATTCTACTATTTCTATAGCAAATTCAATCATTTACAATCGAAAATTGTAATTTTTTCGTTGTCTCAAAAATTTAGTTTTCTCCGTGTATTTACTGGTGTTCCAAATGAGGGTTTCGTACTTACTATTGAAATTTTCAAGTTGATTTTGAATAGATTTCAAATGTTATTGATAAGTTTCTCTGTTGATTCGCCACAATTTTGAAAGCAAAATTGTCAGGAAAATTTCCTTCTACAAAGTTGAGTAAATTTTACGGATTCTCGAGTAATTTGAACTTTTTAAATTGGCACCCCAGGTTATTTATTTGGGCTTCGCAACCACAAATGAAGAAGTTTTTGGATACTTTTTGTATAATAGCCTTAAATAACTTTAGATTTAGCAGTAGTTACAGTGCGTTTTTTTAAATCTAAAAATAAAACCAGCCAAAAGTTGTGATAAAAATAAAATTAAAAAAAAAAAAATTAACAGTAATTAAAAATATTATGCAGAAGAAAATTAAATTCAATTTTTGAAGAGCTTTGAGATCCCCTATGGGTAGTTAAAAAAGTTATCATATGGGACTCCCTGTATACATATAAATTGACATCCTTGACAATATGGGGATAATTTTAACATATTTGTGATCAATCCCTCTAAATTTTACGATAAGGTATAAAGTGACAATGTTTTATGAAAACTAATTTTTACATCAGCTTGTGATAGGAAAGGCGCAAGTTATTAACATTTTGTTGTGTCGTATAACAGACTATAGATAATATGTGTTAATTTATATTTTGATTAAAGGTTTATGACTTTTTATTAGGTCACTTAAGTAGTAAAATTTAATAAGTCCATCATCGAATATTTTTATACATGGTTGTTAACGCTTCACATGTCCCAGTGACGGTTCATGCATGTTCAAATGAGTGGACTACGAATTGTAAAAATTTTGAGGCTGAATATTTTTTTTAGTTATTCACATAGTCATGAAGAATTGCTATGATTACTTGTGAATAAGTAAATAAAAATATGTTGTGCACCTAAAGTCCCTTTTCGACATAAAGTTTTACTATCTAGAAACTAGACGAAGACGGTCTTCACACTCTGATGTGTCATTTATTTGCTTATTATCTAATCATATTCACACGGTACACGGATGTACGAATTTTATCTTGATATGCGACTATACAAAACATTGGTGAAATATAGGTAAAAAGAGAAAATGTGAGTGCTCTATGAGTCGTTATCTTATCACATAATGTATTTTTTTACATTGTTTTAGAAAAAACATTGTATGAGAAATAATATGTATAAGATACAATGTTCTCATGATATAATAATAATAAGTTAAATAAATATTTAACACCGTGAAAATTCTAAAGAAAAACATGAATTATATTTTTATTTTAAAATGTTACATACTATGAAATTAGTCCGAGAGAGTATGAATATTGTAGGAATAAAAGATATTAGCCTCCGACCGAAACAGGATTTTCTCATCATCATCAGCATAAGGTTG